CAAAAAAGAAGAGATCGTTATAAACGTCGTCATGCCTAAATTATGCATCAAAGCAGGAAACCGGCCACTGGCGAGAAACTGGTCCGTATCTGCACCCGACTTCCCTACTGTACCGCAGAAAGTTATTTTTTTTCTTCCTCATTGTTCTTATTTTTCGGGAAAACAAAACCACATGGCTGCCGCAGCGATAGGAGCGCGGCCGAGAAGCAGCGACGCGGCTCCGAAGGTCGTAGGCATGGTAATCCGCCACGAGCCGATATAGGGTTGGGCCGCGGGTCCTAGAGGAGGGCCAGGATCAGGGACCGGGGCGCGCGGGGCGGCACAGCACGGTCCTCGCACCGGTTATGCAATGCCTCTATCTTTATGGTGACACGGTGGTGGGTGCGTCCAGCTCATCGGCAGTGCTTCGTCTCGCATCGAGTACCTTGTGCACTCCGGGGGCTCCACGCAGTACAAGCATCGTTACAAGCTTAGCACCTTCGGAGGCACCGGCGCGGTATCTCACGGCTCCTGATCTACCACCTTCCAGGAAGGTGACTCGCGCGCAGAGATAAATCGTGGGTCTGCTAGGCGCCAGTGCAGTACCAAACCAATGACATTTCCCAAATTGAAAATACAAAGGCAAGATGCACCCCCCAAAACACGGGTACTTTAAATCTAGTGCATTTTCTTGAAATAAGCACTCGAGTAAACTGAGTGCACTCACTTGATTTCAAGAAAATGCTCTTGAAGTACCAGCTATTTTTAGGGGGGTGGGGGAGGGGCGTGTCTATTTTCTTAACTGAATATAACATTTGTTTTTCTGTTCTGGGCCCTTTCTTGCGCGGGGCGTGAAAGTCTCGGAACGTGATGTGCTGTACTCGCCAACGACTGGTTGGCGAAGGATGCTATACTGTGCAAAACTCTAAGGTGTGTCCATATGGGCCGGGGGCCGGCTGGCGGCGGGGCTCGAGAGTCGGTAACCTGTAGATAACGACCACGCTAACTGTTGTGAGAAAAATGCATGATGCCTCGAGAGGTGCGACCGTCTATTTATACCCGGCAGCCCATCCTGCGCGATGTGACCCGAATAGGTGTATTTCGGCAAACCTCGGGCGGAGATTGTTTGGATAGGAACGACACAAAACAATATGGGCTGAACAAGCTAGTTGAAGTGTGCCCCTGCCACTACAGCGCACAAGGAATTCGTCTGGAGAGCAGGAATAATTTCCGGTGCAAAGATGTCGCATTGAAATTAAAACTAATTGCATAGGTTTTAACTATAATTCCTCTGTTATTAAGTCAAGTCAACACTCTTGTGTCCGGTCGATGAAAACGCCTGATGGATAGGCAAAGAAGAGCGTGCCCC